CACACACACACACACACACACACACACACACACACACACAACTACCTTGCTATTATCTGTAGGCTTTGGAGACTGGACAATGGACTCTGTCTGTTCTGCAATACCAGCCAAGTTACTCAAGTCGGTCACTTCATGAATCAGGGGTTTGTTGTCCACTTGACAAGGGTCCTGAGGCTGGGACATACAAATAATTAAGTCACTACTGATGTAAAATGAGGTATACGAATATAATGTACAAACTTCACTAAAACGCTGTTTTATATAATTAAAATCATCATATTTTAGTGAAATTAAAAATTCCCACAAAGTTGGTCTTTAAAGAAAGTGCAATACTTAATACCAAATTTTGACCGTACTTTTACCAAACAAGGTCTAAAGTTGAATGAAAAAAAAATCTGCCTGCCAATATCCAAAGAAATTCAAGGCCAGTTTTGTCTAACCAATTCTGACAGGAAATGATAAACTCTTTCTGACCTTCCCAGACATCACTTACCGTTGCTGTGTGAGATTCCTCAGCAGACAGTCGGCTGATTTTACAGCTCGGCTCTAGCTGACTGGAGTCATTCAACATTAGAGGTAGTTTCCGCTTCCCAAGAACCTTACGACTTCCCACAAGATGCATCAGAAACTGAATTAACTACAAAAAAGAGAAAAAAATGTGACCAAGGGTTTCCACAGAGAGCCATCTTGCTGTCCTTTGGACGGCCATTAGACTAAAAATACGGTCTAAATTACCAAAGATGGCTGGAAGGCTTACAAATTTTTGAGTTGGTTGGTTGGACTTGCTTAAGTTGGACTCCCAGTAAACTAATAACCAAATTATAGATTTTGGATTCCCTGCATACCAAATACTGGGGAAACCTCTGAATGTGACCAATAAAAACAAAATGTATTCTGTCTTTCAAATAACGTGGACTTCCAAAAGACAGACATTTCTTGATGCATACTTAAATGATAAGTGTGTGTTATATAAGTACTTCTAAAGACTATCAGTTTAACCAGTAACTGCCAGAAACAAACTTACCTTGTTAACTATCTGTTGTTGCTTCATGTGTTTTTGTCGAAGTGACGCCACTTCTCTCCATAATGCCTCGTTTTCTCTGTAAAAAATATTGTTTCACATGAAAAAAAAAAAAAACATTGTATCACATGATGAAACAAAACCCTGTGGTGATATCACTTGACACTGGAAATTTTATATCAAGAGCTATTTTCCTTAAATGTTATAATATTTTTAACGCTGTTCTGAAGAGAAGAGAAGAGAGAAAGGAGAAATATACAGGGGGTAAATTTTTAATTCAATATCCTTTAAAAAGGTTCACCTCTTCATCCCATCCAATTTTGAATTCATGTTTTCTTGCTTCCCACGAATTGACTTCACGTCACTCAAAACCTTGGACACGTCCTCATGTCGGACCTTCACGTCATCTCGCGTGCTACCTCCAACCTAAGACAAGATAAAGAAGCCTATCAGGATTTTTTTAATATAATCAAGCTGTATTTTAGTCCTTACAAAAGCTCCAGTAGGTTTGAGGGTAATATGGCACATAGTTATCCTTTTTATCCTTTTTTTTACAGTAAAGAAAGAAACAACAAGGGAGTCAGATGCAGGTGATTGCTATATGAACAGATATACTGTGTCTGCACATAAACACAATATAACCAATCAGCATATTATTCATTATTCCCTACTTGCTAATGTGCAATATGGCTTACTAAAGGTCAATATAAAGCTGTGATGTAAAAACAAAGATGGCGTAATAAATTGATAATTCATTGAACAAAAAAAAAAGCTAAATGCTATGATTGTTCTCTTTTTTTTTTTTTTTTTGTTTCTTAAATTCATCATTCAAGATAGGTGTAGAAAACAAACAGATGTTTTGGTTGGTGCCAAAACAAGGTTCCATTCCCATCCAGAAGTGAGCCTCCTTTTGGCATCCAACAGACATGTCATTGGGTTGGTGCCAAAATGAGGCAACTATAAGACACAGCTCTGTATCTATTTGTTGACAAGTCTGAATAGCTCTGTACACTTAAAAAAGAACAATGTGGGAATATACCTGGGTAATTTTTATAACAGGAGATAAGTTCATTGAATTATAAATATATAACAAACTTGAGTGTGGTACAGAGTGCTCAACAGTCTGGAGCATTTATGACACACGTCGTATTTTTATGTCCAGACAGTGCCTGTCCATCATAAGACCGGCTGAGATTCAGCTTATCTTCACAGCAACATGAAACTGGCCTGTGCTGCACTTGCAATTCATTTTCGGGCAAAAGACTCTCACTCCACCAATAAAATGCTGGGTGGTTCATTTTATAGTGGCTGTTTAAAAAAAATCTACATAATATTTGGTATGCTTTGTACATCTCACATATTCAGGGGTGAAAGTTGTACAAAACTAAAAATCCTGAAAACGAAGCTTGCAATTTCTCATGGCATATACACCATATGAAAAAACTAAATGAACACTGAAAATCCTGAAAACTTTCACCCACTGTATGCATATTCTACATAGCAAATTAACCCAATCCCATTCTTAAAACAGTAATAACATTTCCCAGAAACCACTGGAAAAAAATCTTTAAGTTATCATCTTTCACATAATATCTTCAATGTATTACAGTATTATGAAATCTGAGCTGGCATTTGAAAGGCTTATGTGCCTGACAGTGTCCCTTTCCAAGTGCAATATCCTGTCACCGGTGGTAAATGTCACACAGAATAAGTCATCACAACAGAGCATTTTAACATCACTGGAAGCTTAAAGCTGCTTCTAATTCTGGTCTCCCAAAGCCATTCTAAGGCCCAATTTCACAGGACAGTATAGTTTTGTGATACAGTACGGACCAGTACACTTAAAGAGATCCTTACATATAATTACGCCTCTGGGGCTTTTACAATTTTCACTCCCTACTGTTTGGTTGTAAGCTGATTAATTGGCTTTGTCTATTGAAGTTCCTAATATATATGCAATTATAACACAGAGGCTGCCAAGCTCTTTCAAAATTCAAACTGCACATCTTACCTTTCTCTTGATGAGGTCCAAGAGGTACTCGTGGTCCTTCAAGAAATATGGGTGTGCAAACTCCATGTCATCTTTGTCCACTTTAAGGCTTCCCTGGTCAACATTGGTCACCTTACGGAATCCATCTGAAAAGAAGGAGTTAAGCTGAATTATACGAGCTACCACAGAACCAACATGCCACACATCATACCTAAACTGAAGGACTAAATACGAATTCAAAATTAATTTAATATTTGTCTATTCCATCTTTGCACAGTACAAGTTGTTGAAATATATACCCAAAAATAACAGTTATGCATAATGCATATATCTCATTATACTCATTTCTGTACACGAAAATTGTCATTGTTCATAAAAGCATTTTATAATTATATTTTGATTTTTTTAAAATTGTGTCCACTATATGATATCTTTGTGGGTAAAATATAATTCCCTGTTAATTTCATAGCTGCTACATCTGAAACCAGCTCAAAAACATGATCCATAAAGCTTTTCAAATCCATGAGTTAAAGCAGCTCACATTTTCCATTTTGTTCTGTATACTTACACATGTTCAACTGTCTGATAAAACTTGCAATGTTGTTGTGCTTGAAGTAAAGAGGTAGGACCTCTTTGGCAAACCTCCCCTGGTCATACACATGGAAACTCCTTCCACTCTGAAATCAATTATTCATATCAAAGATGTACTGAATGTGTCAAAGCTATTCTTCCATTATATGTGTGTGGCACATAATGGATTAGAATGTCTTTTAACAGAGAGATAATCGTAATTGGCAAAGATAGCATGTACTGTGCTTGGCTGACCCGACTTAATCAAACTGTCTTTACTACTCAGGTTTTTGTGCTGTCACAACTCTGCCACTAGTATATTAACATATGATAAAGATGAGGCATTCAGGAATCTAGGTATTTGAATTATTATTCATTCAAATATTTTGTGCAAAATTCATTGACAAGATCACTTTCTGCAAAATCACTGCGAAACAAAAAACTACAGAATTTCTCTAACTATTGCCTATTTACAGGACCTGAACACAACTTCATAGATAAGATGCACTTGTTAAATCAAACTGCAATTAAGTAATGTTGGAAAGGGAAAAATAATTATCTGTGTAACTAAGCTGATGTCTCTTTCTGGCAAAATGGAACACTAACATAATTACTACATATGTGAAAAATGTGAAGAAATTTCAGGGGTGGGGGGGGGGATCTCAAAATGATGATGCAACAATGCATCTTTTGTCAACACAAACAAACGTTAGAACTGAATAAGCCCATCTTAATAATTATCATTAATCATAATTTAGTAGAAAACTGTAAGAAGAGATAAAACACTGACTTACACATGTGTATCTTATGACTGGTACTAAATTTAATTTCAATTCATAAAAAAAAATCAATTTTGTTTAAAAACATTTTAAACACAAGATTAAAGTAATGATTATGTAAATTTTAGGTGTTCCCTATTAGACGTCGGATGAGTCATAGAGAAAGTATAACTTTAATGTCCCACGCCTCCAGATATTGGAGGGGATTTCCTTGTCCACAGACAGCGCGAACGTCACTGACCTATGATTACATAAACTGATAGGCTGACGACCGGGGAATTTTATCGTCAGCTAACAAACTACTGATTTTTACTTTCAGTCACTTTCTGCTATCACAAAACAACAAAAAATCTAATTTCAACTGTAATACATGGCAAATGTACACAATGCATATATTCTCTGCAAAGTTCGCAGAAACCGGTTTCACACTTGCTACAAATGCCAGGCAGTGCTCGTGAAGCAACAGTTAAGACTTACCGCATCCCAGTAGATTAATTCGTCCGTCGACGGATCTTCTACCAAGGTCCACAACTTCGAGAGAAATGCTGGGACAGCTGAGCCAGCTTCTGCTGAATAGTTTTCTGTTTCTTTTGTAGGCATTTTGTTAACTCGCCTAAATAATAACTCATCCATCGTGTGATCAGTAACAACACTGATACACGGAGTGACAGGAACTGCGCAATTAGAAATAGATCTGCAGTAATCAGAAAAGCAGCTATTGATTGGCCAATATGTGTAAAAAGCGCGTGTAGTTCCCATAAATAAGCTTTTAAAGGAATTATGTAAATATAAGGAATGACTATGAGTATTTTAGATTGCATAACAATAAAATAATTTTTTGTTATAAATATTAACTTAATCTACCAGACTTTAAGAGGATACTTCTTTTAATTGCTGGCAATCTCGATTTAGATAAACAGGAACTTTTAGGCGTGTTTTAGCGCTTATGTACACATGTGGGGAAACGAAAAGCATGCAAAGATGTCTTTGAAGACGAAAAGAAAGCTTGATTCACTCACGATATCTGAGGGAAATAACAACAAGGATGGGGTGAGTTTGGCATTAATAATTGGATTTAACATAGGAGTTTGTATTACTGCAAGGTAAACATATGCTTACAATAAAAACATGGAGATATAACTTATTTTTTCCTGGTCGTTTTACCTGGCTGAGTCCTACAGTCGTAGTCGTTTACATCTTGCTGTTAGGCTTAGTGTAAGGCTTTACTCTGCTGCTCACTTATCACAGGTAACTCCTAACTTGCGGTACGCATAAACAAAGTGAGGCTGTAAACTTAGGTTAGCTTTTCCACGACAAAATAATAAATAAATAAAACGTGGAATTTCTAAAAATGTTAAAGCTGAGCAAAGATTAAAATTGCATAAATATTAAATCAGCTACTTCAGCTACTTTTTTGTATTAATTAATGAAAATGCCTTTAAAATTACAGATTGACTTATTTGTGAATGCCCCTCCTGATGGGAGTGATGCTGCTGATGATGATAGTACTGACTCTGAGGAAAGTGAGTATTCAGGCTTAGAGGATGAACCAGACACGACTGATGATGACAGTGAGGAAGGAGAGGAGGTGGGTGCTGTGGAGAAACTTGCAGTGAATCAGTTTAAGTTTTATCTGCAGAAACTCTTGGAAGTTGATGCCACATCAGTTTAGTGTTCCATGTCTTTGTATAGATTATCAGTAATGGTTTTAGAAGTATTTAATTCTCAACATTCTTGTTAAACATAAATGTTTCATGTCATATTTATTACTTCGTATGTTGTAATTAGCGTAGTTTATCTCTCTCTCTCTCTCTCTCTCTCTCTCTCTCTCTCTCTCTCTCCATTTTATTTATTATTTATTTTTTTTAATGAAAATACTTTCAGTTCATTTTACTTTTAAACAATTTGATAGATCTATCTTTCTGTGATTAGTAATACAGTGTGTATTGTTTCTGATCCTTTGAGGCACTTGTCATCAAGATATTCTTATCTTAATACTGAGAAAGTATATGGAACAAATGTACAAGCATTAATTTCTGTAGAATGAATATAAATTTTATCAATATTTTTGGCAGACTGAAAATTCAGATCCAGACACAGACCAGGAAACAGACGGGAGTGAGGACAGTGACATTATTTTGAGAAAAGTAAACAGACATGAACCTGAAACACAATTGCAATCAGATGAAGAGGTTGAGGAAAATGGCCTGAGAAAAGACAGGAAAGAAAAAGAAAACATACAGAAAGCAAAAGAAAAAACAAAGAAAGGGAAAGAAAAAGCAAAGAAAGGGACAAAATCAAATGAGGGAAGCTCGAGTCAAAAATCTGGAAATGATACAGAAGAAAAAAATGAAGAGTTTAATGAATATGCTCAAGATTCTTCAGATGAAGAGGTATAAAGAAATATGACATGAATTTATTATTAAATTTATGAATAAATTTTGATTTCTTTTTATGTGGGCTGCTAGTTGCTCAGTTGAAAAAAGATCATCTGTAATATTTCACCATAGACATTGAATGCAAAAAGGGAAAAGAATGAAAAGTTTAATTCTTTAAATTTCCTACAACCAGAGTATTTTACATGAAATATTTTACAAAGATTTGCTTCACTGTTGTGAGCCCAAGTGAGTATTAAGTTTGGTGGTCAAAACTGGAAAGGCATCCATATACTATTCATTTTTTACTTATACAGTATAAGTTTCATATGCCATTGGGGCCATTGCAGATTCTTTGTAAGGCATACAGACTGCTTCTACTAGTTTCTTATACAACTCAAGTCAAGGGGACACGTTTAAAGATAACCCAAATTAATTACTCCAAAAATGGTCTTAAAACTGCACCTTCTTCAATTTACTGGTCAGAAACTTGACCTATTAATCTGCCCCTCCAGTTCATAAAAGTCAGCCAAGTGAGGGATATAGTAAATGATACATTATTACTGCATGCAATACCTTAAGTATGAGTGGCAGAAGCGACTAATGGTTATATGTAGGACAGAAAGAAAACAAAATATCTGTTAATGTATATTTTTCAGGAAGTATGAGAATTTGCCCTTTGATATTTCTTTAAGTTATGCTATGTGAAAATATATGATGGCATTTTGTCGGTTTAGTTTACTAACTCAAGGAATGCAAGTACAGCCTGGAGACCTTAACTTTGACTTATTTCTTTATCTCTAGGACATCAGGAATACAGTGGGTAATATCCCTATGGAGTGGTATGGGGAGTATGCACACATTGGCTACAACCTGGAGGGAGGCAAAATCATCAAACCTAAGAGAGCAGATGAAGTGGATGAGTTTCTCAATAAAATGGATAACCCAGATTACTGGTAAATCAAGTTACTATGAAGGGATTGATGATGATGTAGAAAGAAAGGGATTTTGTTACTCAATGCGTTTATTTAGATCTCATATGATTGGCTATTTATATGATGCTTATTTGTAATTACTTACACTAAGTCATATATATATATATATATATATATATATATATATATATATATATATATATATATTTTTTTTTTTTTTTTTTGGGGGGGGGGAATCTGGTGAATATGGAATGAACTAATATTTATTTGTAGTACAACTTCTTAGTATTTTAAGTGAGGAAGTGATGCCTCTCATTGTTGTTGTGGGCATCTTCCTCCCTCCCCTCCCCCCCCCCCCCCCAAAAAAAAAAAAATTAAATAAATAAATAAATAAATAAACTACGCTTTCTGGACATTAAGCCGTTGCCTGTGTCTGAGGTCCCCATAGGTGTCAATGTGCACTTTCCTCGTTATTGTTCAGTGTGTTGAATTATGTCCAAACTCTGCATTGTGTCTTCTAGGAGAACAGTCAAGGACAAGATGACAGGACAGGATGTCATTCTCTCCAAGGAAGACGCTGAGATGATTCAGAGAATGGAGAAAGGAAAGTTTCCAGATGCTGCATATGATCCCTACGAAGTAGGTCTACTTGATGCTTTCCTCGTTTCCCATTCACTTTTCTAAAACCAGTGCCAATTATCTTTGACATCCTGTGAATATATATTTCCGTCTTGCCAGGATAGTCATTTATAAAATTTTAGAATTGAAAAATGAAAAAGTAAAAAGTACAAAAAATACTTTAAGGCATTTTGTGAAGTGTTGATGCTATGAGTCATTGCTAAAATGCTTTGTCCGTAAGACAATTTGACAAGTCAGAACAAAACAAAGCTAAAAAGAAAAAATTGATAAAAAGTATATAATAAAGAAAACGGAAATTAAAAAAATAGTAATTCAAAAGTAAAGATATCCAAAATGATGTGTTTTCTGATATTCCAGCCATGGGTGGATTTCTTCACTCATGAAAAAATGATCCATCCTGTCACCAACAGACCAGAACACAAGAGGAGCTTTATCCCATCTAAGTGGGAGAAATTAAAAGTGAGTGAAGAACAACATTGAGCTCTGTCACTATTTGTTTCTTATTGTGAGCCCAATTGTCTACTGTGTGTATGCATGTGTGTACTTTATATGCATAATTTATCATATTTGGGTATATTAACAGTTTTTCATCACATTATTTATGCCTATTAAGGTGGGACAGCTGGTTCACGCCATCAAGATGGGATGGATCAAACCCAAGAAACCAACGACAGAAGACGACGAGCAGCCAAAATATTACGATATCTGGGGTAAAGATGATGAGGTAGGTATGCTGATTTGTCAGAAAAGATTTATTTTTTGTGATTGTTTGTATGAAAATATAATTTGAACAAAAATGTTCATTAGCTTGGTAGTTGGATCATAAATAAAAATTATCGAATACAACCAAAAAAACTTTCATACCATTGGCTATACCACCTAGCAGTCAGTGAGTATCAGCATCTACTCACATTGGTCTGATGAAGGCCTATGTCCAGGTTTGCCATAAGCTATCGGTATGAAAGTCTTTTGGCTTGTGTTTGATAATTTTCATTTAAGAAAGTTTGAAGTATATATTTATCTTAACTATTTAATGTGGGTAACCATTGGAAGATATTTTTTCCCCCAGAGTGCTATCAACAAGAGATTTACTCAACACATTCCTGCCCCAAAGATGGCGCTACCAGGTCATGAGGAGTCGTACAACCCTCCGCCAGAATATCTCCTCACTGAAGAAGAAGTAGGTGAATTTTTCATAAAAAATCAGGCCATTGTTTTTAATGGAGTGCTTTAAAGCTAAAAGATATAATACAGATGACTGTGTTGGGGTCAAAAATCTGAATAGAATTCATTATTGAGGGAATTGATTGTTTTACTATTCCTCTCTGAGTCTCAATTGACTGAGGTTACTAATGAAGTTATTAGCCTGGCACTTCCACCAATAAAAACCATTGATTCTTCCTTAGGAACTGGCTTGGAAGGAGACAGACCCAGAAGACAGAAGAAGGAACTTCCTTCCAAAGAAGTACTCCTCTCTGCGGCAGGTGCCTGCCTATCCACGATTTATCAATGAGCGCTTCGAGAGATGTTTAGATCTGTACCTGTGTCCACGGCAGAGGAAAATGAGGGTACTTTCATACATTTTGTTTTGTTTCTGAACATCTTAAAAATAACAAACCTAACATCTGTATTTCCACTGGAAGGAGATTATTGATTCAGAAGTGAAATCCCTGATTTCAAAGGATTTTATTTTGATCCAGTCAAGTACTTGTTATGATTTATCAGGAATACTCATGGTGTTGTCAATTTTTTTAAACATTATATGTAAAGTGATTGTTTTTTAGAGCTTCGTAAATAGATTAATGAAAATGAATGTTGAATCTGTTTGATATATATCACATGGTAAAAGTTCTGGAATCACTTTAACACCTTATGTTGAAGAATTGTGACTTCTTTTTTTTTTTTTGCAGACTGTTGCTTTTGTTTTAATATAAGTCTCTTTTCCCCACTTGCAGATGAATGTGAACCCTGAAGACCTCATTCCTAAGCTTCCTAAACCCAAGGATCTGCAGCCTTTCCCAACTACACAGTCCATAGTAAGTATTTTGTGTACACAGAGTTATAGTATGTAGTAGTTAAAAAGTTGTTAGCAATTTGAGCATAAGATCTTAATTCCTTAATCACAACAGATTTGGCCACGTATATATCTCAAAATGTTTTGTTACAAATAATTGCAAAATTGATAATTTTGAAATAAAGGTGGCATTTGAAAATTTGATTGTCACAGTGATTGATTGATTGATAACTGATGTTTGTATGTATCTAGAAAACGTACACCTAGTTATAAATATAAAGATTAAAATACAGAATTTTATAAATGAAAGATCATGGGGAGAAATTTTCTGTGACATTCTGTGAAATAATTTCTTCCTTTTTATGTGTAAATACAAGTTTATAAAGTTGCTGGATTTTATATGAAATATTGAAGAATTGAAATTCTCAGGAGGCTGTTAGGGGTGGTGGGATGGCAGAAAGGATTTTCTATTCTCCCTTTCCATTCATTTATGCCTGTTTTCTTATTACTTCCTTAGATCTATGAAGGTCACAGTGGACTGGTCAGGTGTATCAGTATTGACCCTAAGGGTCAGTGGATGGCTTCAGGTTTGTAAATACTCTATATAATCCACAATTATGTCTTGATAAATACAATTAGCATAGTAAGGTTAAATAACTTATATTTTAAGTATTGTGATGTAAATAAACAGGTAATAGACATTATTTGACCAATTCAGAAAGTGGATACATATACAAAATAAAAATCAATATTAATAATAAAAATAAATGAATAAAAAAAAAAAATTATTTATAAATTTGTATTCATCATATTTGTATATTTACAGTAAAGATTTAACATATTGTATTACAATTTCTCACCTTGGTACTTGATCTATTTCACACCTGATGAACTTCTATTTGTTATTGTCCAGGTTCTGATGACCACAGTGTTAAACTGTGGGAGGTGTCCACAGGCAGGTGTTTGAATACTGTCCATATTGGAGGGACAGTTAAGAGCCTGGCCTGGAACCCGAACCCTGCACTGTGTTTAGTGGCGGTCTGTGTGTAAGTGGGACCAAGTGAAATATTTGTCTTAAATTGGTTGTATAATATAAATTATTTTATATATGGGCAATTTCATGTCAACTATTGCATAATATTTTTCTTAAAACTTGTTATTTTATGTATTCCATCTATGAGCAATGCTGTGTTTTGATTGTTCTTGCTTAAGCATGGCTGAGTAAATAATTTCTTTTAGTTTTGATCAAAATTTCAGTTTTAATTATCAAAGACAAGTGGAGGTTTGTCTGTAGGAGCAGACTTCATTAAAATTTGAAATTTTCAGCCTCTTATAAAAGTTTGTTCTGTCTTTAAACCTAGTGGGTGAAAATAGGCTAATTCTTGACCTTTCATCTAAAGATATATAAAATCTTACTTGATACTTTCAGAGAGAAAGCGGTCATTCTGCTAAACCCTGGCCTTGGAGACAAAGTGGTCATTACAGCCACAGATAATATGCTGACCAGCTATCAGTCAGTCTCAGAGGAGGAAGAGAACTCTGGTATATCTTGTTTCTCATGTACAGTTTTTCTTTTTATTAACCATTTTAAATATGTTAACCTTAAGTACATGCTAGTGATGTCTATATTCTTATGCAAGTGTTAAAAGGTTTAGGCGCTTTGTTTGGGAGAGAGTTATTGTGCATATATTGCTATATGATCTATAAGGGTTCATTTACATCACATATTTTACTGTTAGTGCGCAGGAGGATGCTGCAGCAGAGGGAACATCCGTACAGCCGTAAGCTTTGGAGCAGCTCTCTTACTGCTCACTAAATGATGACATTTATCAGGGGCGGATCCAGAGATATTTTCTGACAGTCTTCCATATTATATTTGTTGGTCCGTCCTCCATTTTTTGACCGTCTTCCGACAGAAAAAATTAGATACCCGTCAATGTAAACTTGAAAATCTGACCGTCTTCCGGAAGACCCAGAAGACGGCCTAAATCCGCCCCTGTTTATTACATGTACACAGTATATAACAAAATTATTTCATTTTCTCTTTTTATTATTCTTCTAATTTGAAATATTGCAAGCAGGCTTGTAATGGGTGTGTTCTTTATGTAGTATGTCTAAATTTTCAGGTTTGCCAACAACTTGGGAAGATTGTGAGGAAGAAGAAAGCATGCATGGCTGCCGGGTTAGGATTACACACCCTAAGGTACACTAAAAATATATAATAATAAATGTAATATCTTTAAAACATAGATACATCTATGTTAATGTTGTGTAAGACGGACACCTGAATATATGCAGGTAAAAGATCCAAATATTTATCACGTCTGAAAAAAGTAGTTTAAGTAGTCATGTAGTTGAGTGAATAATGCCTGCTCAAAATATTCAGTGATTGAAAGTTTTTAAATTTTATTATGTTTTCATAACTTTTAATCAAGAATTAAATAAAGACTGCTAGTAGTCATACCTAGTTTATTTTTCTGAGCCGCAGACTTTGGTAAATTTGAAGGTAAAAGTAGTGATTGATTCTTGTAAAATACTACTTTGATACAGATTTTGATGGTGTTTTCAGTACTTGTCCTTTTCAGTTCAGGGTCAACTTTATATTGTCCATTTACTTAACACACTGTATCCAGTGCTATATAAACATAAATAGTGTTGTTTTTATTTATTATCCCCAGGATGTCAGTCAAGTCACATGGCATGGGAAAGGAGACTATTTTGCCACCGTGATGCCAAATGCAGAGTCCATGTCTGTAATGATACACCAGCTCTCTAAGAGAAGGTCTCAAGTAAGAGAAATAATTGCATTAAATTATCTTTATCTTTCTTTTTATGGCTTCTCATGTAGCATCAAAAGTTACCAGGTTTTTTTGACAGTAGCCAAAAAATCGGATGGCATTGTCATCAGAATATATGTTTTGTTTCAGATGTTTTAATATTGTTACTTAAAAGAAATTCCACAATCTTTATGATATTTATATAATTTGAATTTTGTTTTCCAGGCCCCGTTCTCCAAGTCTAAGGGTATGGTACAGAAGGTGCTGTTCCACCCAACAAGGCCCTTCTTGTTTGTGGCTGTAAGTAGATACTAAACTAGTTAAGATATATGTGAATTGAGGATTTTCTTTGACTCATTTTTGTCCTTTCATTTATTCATTCTCGAAAAGTTGAGATAAGATGACTTAAACTGTTATTAGCTTCTCTGCAAATACCGTTTTCCTAACGGTTGCAACGTTGAAAATTTCTTTCTATTACACATGCTCTGTAACAGTTCTGTAGGAACAACTATAACAAAAAAAGAAATTATATAAATGTGTTAGAAGGAGAAAACTATGAATTTTTCACAATATTTTCCTTCAATAATTTGATATTTTAGACCCAGCGCTATGTGAGAGTATACAACTTGACCAAGCAGGAGTTGACCAAGAAACTGATGACCAACTGTAGATGGGTGTCCAGTATGGCTGTACACCCTGGAGGTAAATTTTAATGTCATAGATTTGGCTTCATACTCTCTAGGACCAAATAGTATCAATATCCTGGTGAATTGTGAAGGGTAAAAGAGCATATTATGTGTTTCCCAGATCTGCTTGAAGAACCTATTTTTAAATTCATCGGAAAATTAAAAACTTTATTTTACATTTTTGTTTTGTAACCAGGAAAAGTATAACTTTGAAAATGTATTGTTTCAAAAATGAGCCTCATCAGTTATTCAATTTCCAATGTTTATCAATACATACATTGTTATTTTTGTCTTTTATGAATGTATTATTTCAGGAGACAATGTGATAGTGGGTAGTTATGACGCCAGGCTGTCGTGGTTTGACATGGATCTGTCCACAAAACCCTATCAAACTCTCAGGTAGGATCACTGGGCTAGCAGGGATGGGGCAGGGTCACTGGGCTAGCAGGGGTGGGTCAGGATCACTGGGTTAGCAGGGATAGGTCAGGGTCACTGGGCTCACTGGGATGGGTCAGGGTCACTGGGATAGCAGGGATGGATCAGGGTCACTGGGCTCACTGGGATGGGTCAGGGTCACTTGGATAGCAGGGATGGGATATGGTCAGCGAGTTTGCTTTAATAGGTTGGGATCATTGGGTTAGCATTACTTTGTAATTTACTTAACCTTTTCATCCCATGAGAGACAGAAGGTCACTACAATACCTGGGCAACTGAGCACTTATCTTTTGCTTTTGCCTGGGTTTTGCCCCATGATTAGTGTGTTGGTATTTTGATAAGGATTAGGATCGGCATGTTTGGGTTAGGCATTTTTCTTTTATGCACCTAAAAGCAATGAGTGGCTAAATATTGAAACCCAGAGACAAGTAAATTTTAACTATTATTTCTTATCAATTTTTCCAGACATTATAAGAAAGCCTTGCGCCAGGTGTGTTATCACAGTAGATATCCACTGTTTGCATCTGCATCTGATGATGGCACTGTTATTGTATGTCACGGAATGGTGTACAAGTAAGTATATTGTATTGTTACTGTTGTCATTTGTATTGTCATTTACATCAGAAAATGTTGCCATTGTGCATAATTTCAACCACTTATTAATAATAATTTGATATCAACATTGAAAAATCAGTTATTTGCACAAACTGATTTACTTACAGTTAATTTTCAATCTGAATGTTTTCCAGCGACCTTCTCCAGAACCCGTTAATCGTCCCAGTGAAGATCCTAAGAGGACATAAGATCAGTAAAGACCTGGGCATACTGGACTGTCAGTTCCACCCCACACAACCCTGGATACTGACCAGTGGGGCGGACAATACTATCAGGTTATTTACCTGATCTGAGCTTATATTTATATATATATATCTTTGTAAATACTGAACGTACATGAAAGATGTACTGAAGAGGATAAGAGATTGTACAGTTAGCAGACTGCTTGATGTACGACGTATTCCACAAGAATTTTAACCATGAATGCCCTACAGAAGAGTCGGCCTTTCTGTCATTATTTATGAGAACTGTACAGAAATGTAGTAATGGTTGTTTATCATCATCATCATAATAATGATAACAAAATTTGTAAAATAAAGCAGAAAATAAATAAACTCATGGTTTGGTTATATATCACTGTGAAGATGATTGTAAAGTAACATGGATTTCATGCGGGGGTGGGGGGGGCATACTGTATTGAGTATTTATGTAAGATATGTACATAAATGAGCATGCTGTTTAAAACACCTCTTGTTTGAACTGCTAATAATAATCATGATTGCATGGTTTTTGGCCTGCAGACTATTAAGTGCGATGCAGCTAGATTTTTCCTATTATAATAGTGACACATTTTAATACTAAATGAAAAAATATTAATAATAAACTGCAACCAAAAGCCAGGAGTTGAACATTTCTAAGCCAAATAATATATCATGTTAAAAGATGTGGAATTCAATTTTAACGATTAAATATGTGAAAATGCAAACACACCCATGTACATGCATAAATATTTATTTAATAAAAATATTAAAAGTATAAATTTCACCAAGTTTGTATGGACAATAATGAATAATATGATTTTGCTTTACAAACTAGTTTGAAGATTTAACCAAACTAATAATATAAAATTATAAGTACTTTATTTAAAATAAAGGAAATCCTGAAAAAAAAAAAAAAAAAAAAAAAAGCGAATTTTGAGGTTTTGGATAATTTCCTCTTGGACAAAGCGACATCTACCGGCAAAAATATTATGCAAGCAAAACAGCAGCAGCACGCGTGTGAACAAGGATAAACACAGGCGTCTTAACTCTCCAAGATGATGAGCGGACGAATTTTACCCCGGGCCACCCGAGAAATCCTTCGATCTTTTCGAAGAACAGTGTCAACGACAGCTGTTTCCTCTGCACAAGCTGCTGCAGCCAGCGAAGGTGAGAAATTGCGACTTCGTAGTCATATACTGTTATCATGTTATGTCTAATCATTATTAACCCCTTTTAGCCCTCGTCATCAAAACGAACGGCAGCCATACTGGAGGGAGACCGGAATCGTCTGCTGCGCATGATCATGTCTACATGTACAATTTAGCATTTAATTTCTGTGTTTTCTTTGATATTAAACCGAGTAAAATGATTAATTACTGCAGGGTATATGATAGAGAGAAGGTAAATAACTTTACAAGCGTTCACAGACTGCCTGCAGTGGTAACAATCCAAGGTGTAGGGACGAAAACCGTAAACGGAGGAGAGACTGAGGAGTGGCTTTGAATCAAGACTCATCGGACAAGTAAAGGATAAAACTAATTTATTTTACAGCAAAGAATGAAGACCCAGCTGTGCAGCCTTTACTATNACCCCTGGTTGTGGGGATGGGGGAGGCATGTGCTGTGGCTATGGAGGAGATGGAGGTGGGCTGGACAGGTGTCTAATATAGAATTTAGAAATGATTATGATCATATTAATGATATTAATAAGGTAATTTTAAGGTTAAGACATCAACATATAGAATATGTTTTTTTTCCACAAATTCTAGTTAATATTTAGTGCAGTTGATAGTAAGACAAATGTAAGCCACCTTTCATGATTCTCTAGATATTTTAGTCAATTCTTTCATTCCATGACCATACATGTAGCAGTTTCCTAATTTTTCAAATTGATAAAGGTACTCAAATTTAATTTACTTTCTATAATTCTTTCACAGTATGACCACAAACGTATCAGTAAACTAGCGCAGCGTCTGCTAGATAAGATAACGACAGCCCTGCCAGATGTCATCAGAAATGGCGACCCCGAGCACATGTATCCTGGGTGTATTAACCTGTCCTTTGCCTACGTAGAAGGCGAGAGTTTACTGATGGCACTCAAAGATGTGGCTCTGTCATCTGGGAGGTATGGTGGTTTGGAGATACAAATTGAAGTATTTATTGAAACTCCATTCTTTGATCAATAATTCAATTTGTCTAATGAAAATGAAACACATGTTCCCTTATTTTTTAACAAGTTTTAAAAAGTGATTGCAGAACAATAAAAAAAACATGTTGACTATTAGACTATTAGTTAGAAGTGAACTTGCTATGGAAACCATGTTATCCCTCCCCCCTCCAAAAATAAATAAATAAATAAATAAATAAATAAAAATAGAAATCCAGAAAATTCAAAGAGAAAATGCCATTATCATTTCTCAGTGCCTGCACGTCTGCCTCCCTAGAGCCTTCCTATGTATTGAGAGCCATAGGAGCTGAAGAAGACCTGGCCCACTCCTCTATCAGGTAAAAATTTTGGATAAGAAATTCTTTGCTCTTGTTATTCTGTTGTTGTATGAAATCTTGCATGAATATTTAGAGTAAAAGTTGCCAAGCTTTTAGTAATAAATAATATTTTAAACTCTTCACTCATTACTGATACATGAAAATCACAATTCTTAATCAACAAGTTTTTTGTTTCTTTCTTTTTTTTTGTATTTTCAGGTTTGGGATTAGTCGCTTTACCACAGAAGAGGAAATAGATTACACAGCCGAGAAGTGCATTGAACATGTGCAGAGGCTAAGGGAGATGAGGTCAGTGAGAGGGAGTTGTGAAAAGGGGAGAAAAAGAAGTGTAGAATAAATATAAACAATATCATTATATTTTCACAAGATAGCATATCTGTAGTTTTTACTGCCATGTAACATTGTGATGGTCTATATTCCAGCCCTCTGTGGGAGATGGTACAGGAGGGGATTGATCTCAAGTCCATCCAGTGGTCACAGCACTAGTGGACACAGTGGACAGCACAAGTGGACATTGACCACAGTAGGTTTCACATCAGTGTACAGTGACCACATTAGACATGAACCTAGCGGACAATGACCATTCTGAACTTAGTACAAGTAAATGTAGAAAGTGACCATGGTGAATGCAACACCAGTGGACAGTGGATGCAGTATTAGTGGACATTGCCCGCAGTGGACATAACAATCTATGTTAATTGGACACAGGTCTGTTTTGGTCACCAGACCAGTGGTGAGAGATGCATGTTATTGATCACCACACACTCACGCACACACACAGACATTAGGGTATATTAACCAAGAAGTGCTGCAACACTGAAAAATAAATATACATTTGGAATTCCAAAAAAAAAAAAAAAATGGGATTAGTCCACAGGTAGCGAATATGGTGACCACAGGGTATTTGGTCAACCAGTTATTTGATTACTGGCTTACCTCCATTAACTTGTAGCAAATTTTGTGAAATCTGAATATTGAATATAATGGTGGTTATGAGACTGTGATGGAGAAAGAAAATATTGACACGTTATTTTGATGTGGAATTTCACAAAATGTGATATAAATATAATTTTATTAGAACAGTTAACCATGGTATAACTATAACACGTGTATGTTCTTTCTAAGAAAAAAGTAATGACAAGCAAACTACAGATAAGCACTGATGTCTACTGGAGTCAAATGCTCTCCAAACCAGTCTGTATTTGTAAATTGATTGCTCTTAAAATTCGAATCTAGAAATCACTTTGTACAGATATGGCAGAAATACATGTATACCGTTAGTAATGCCTTTCACCAGACAATGGGTGTTTCCAGTGTTCATGAAATGCATGTGAACTTAGTATTTATCTATCCCTGTATCAGCCAATGTGACATACTGTGAACTCTTGTACAGTACAGTAAATAAAAAAGAAAGAGAAAAGGTAAATAAAGAAGGAAAAGCCATAAGCTAATTGCTGTATTATGTTTATGCCATGAAGATGAAGACTGATTGTAGATAATAAAATTCTTGGATTTAAATAAGATGTTTTATGCTTGTAGAAAAGGGCAAATTAGTGACAGCTGTGTGAGTTGCAGATTGGGGATTTTAAAGTGCATTTCTTCTGTGCTGTTTACTAACCCCTTCTTTTACCCCGGTGAAGTTGATTCCTGGTTCCTTATTCCTTATTCGGGTACTTATTCAAATGTGAAGTTGGTTACTTATTCCCGGTTCCTTATTCGGTTACTTATTCAACTTTTTTATGTTTTTTTATGATTTTGATGCTAGAATACCTGTTTCATCATACTAGCACCCCCTCTTCATCTAGATGACACCCTAAAATTGTTAAATGTACCACTAAAAACACAAAATATAACCCATTCCTTATTCAAAAGTCCTGTTACTTATTCGGTTACTTATTCCTTATTCGGTTACTTATTCAACTTTTTTATGTTGTTTTATGATTTTGATGCTAGAATACCTGTTTCATCATACTAGCACCCCCTCTTCATCTAGATGACACCCTAAAATTGTTAAATATACCAATAAAAACACAAAATATAACCCATTACTTATTCAAAAGTCCTGTTACTTTATTTTACTATTCTCGAGACAGAGAATTAATCATGAAACGTCATCCATTGCTAGGCTACTTTGTTCTTTTTGACAGATCATCGCCAGCTGTGTTTGTTTACATCTGGGGTCAAGGTCAGTCAGTAAAATTTTACAATCAGGTATTGAATTGTCCGAATGCGGTGTGCCATATTATTGACCTCATACCGCTTGAGAGATATCATGATTAAAATGTTATTTGTGCAATGCCGTTAAGATGGCATGCACGGGGAAGATTAGAGCCGAGAAAATCTACACCGTGCATATTTTCAATGTACGGGCGCCCTTTTGATTTCGCCCATAGGCGGCCGCCATTTAGGCTACTCTTAGGCCTATTCGGTTACTTATTCAAAGCTAAATCTTGGCGCCAAATCAAAACTTAAGCGAAAATGCCAGCGCTCTCAAAATGGCTGCATTGGCCCTCTCTATACAGTGTAGATTACGATTTATAAAAAGTTGGAATCAAATCGGCCAAATATAAAACCCGTGTCCTCAGCCGTGTTCAATGTAGGTGACGTGACAGATAGGCCTCAAAAGGTACGGAGTTCGGTTTTTTCGAACCAGGCGCGTGTATTAGGTCCAGGTGAGTTGATTTGGATGGAAAAATCTGAAATTCTTTCAAAAACGGACTTTCTGGAGGCCTGGTTAGGCCTAGGCCTACTTATTCGGGACTTTTGCTTTTTAAGCGGGAATGGAAGGTCCGATTTTACCAGACAAGTGTCACATCATTTTCAAGATGGAGCCCCATCCGCCAGTAGAGAAAATTTCACTCTCATTGCATTTAGCCGAGCGCTACATCTCTGTTACTTATTCGATTCCTTATTCAAAGCTAAATTTT